CTCGTTCAGGAGGACCACATAAGGTCCTCCTTCCTCCTGGACAACCAGAACAGCAAGAACGCAGTGACTGCCTCTGCTGGGATTGCCTTCTTAAACATCGTGAACTTCAAACTTGAGGCGGACTACACCTCCCAGAATGCTTTGACCAAGAGCTATCTTTCTAACAGAACTAACTCCAGGGTGCAGAGCATGGGTGGGGTTCCATTCTACCCAGGTATCACCTTAGAAACCTGGCAGAAGGGCATCACTAACCACTTGGTGGCAATAGACCGTGAGGGTTTGCCTCTGCATTTCTTCATCAAGCCTGACAAGCTGCCTGGCTTGCCAGGTCCTTTGGTGAAGAAGCTGTCGAAGACAGTGGAAACCGCTGTGAGACACTATTACACTTTTAACACCCACCCTGGATGCACAAATGTCAATTCCCCCAACTTTGATTTTCAAGCCAATATGGATGACGGCTCCTGTGATGAGAAAGTAACCAACTTCACCTTCGGTGGCGTTTACCAGGAATGCACTGAACTGTCAGGAGATGTTCTCTGCCAATACCTGGAGCAGAAGAATCTGCTCACTGGTGCTTTCTCTTGCCCCTCTGGCTACACCCCTGTCCATTTGCTGTCTCAGACCCATGAGGAGGGTTACAGTCGCCTGGAATGTAAAAAGAAGTGCACCCTCAAAATCTTCTGCAAGACAGTGTGTGAAGATGTGTTCCGAGTGGCCAAGGCTGAATTCAGGGCTTACTGGTGTGCAGCCACTGGCCAGGTACCTGAAAACTCAGGACTTCTCTTTGGCGGAGTCTTCACTGACAAAAACATCAACCCCAAGACAAATGCACAGTCATGCCCAGCTGGGTATATTCCACTGAGCCTGTTTGAGAACCTCAAGGTATGTGTTTCTCTGGATTACGAGTTGGGGTACAGGTTTTCAGTCCCCTTTGGTGGATTCTTTAGCTGTATAACGGGGAACCCTTTGATTAATTCCAATGCATCCAAAAACGCAGGGGCACCATCTCTAAAGAAATGTCCTGGGGGCTTCAGTCAACACCTAGCTGTTATCAGTGATGGATGCCAAGTGTCCTACTGTGTCAAAGCTGGCATCTTTACAGGAGGGGCTCTGCTCCCTGTAAGACTCCCACCTTACACCAAACCACCCCTCATGAGCCAAGCCGCCACCAACACCGTCATAGTGACCAGTAGTGAGACTGCCAGATCCTGGATTAAAGACCCCCAGACCAACCAGTGGAAGCTGGGAGAGCCGCTGGAGCTGCGTAGAGCCATGACAGTTATCCATGGGGACAGCAGTGGTATGTCAGGAGGAGAAGCTGCTGGAATCACCTTGGCAGTCATCGTGGCACTTGGAGTTGTCATTGCCTTGGCCATCTATGGTACCCGGAAGTACAAGAAGAAGGAATACCAGGCAATTGATGAGCGAGAGAGTCTGGTTGAAAGTTTAGCCACAGATGTATCGGCCTGCAACAGAGAACAGGATCCCAGTCCAGCTTGACTGTCATCGAAGAAAACAGTCTCTCGTCGTTTCCAGCCACAGCTTCAAGCACGTTTTTCTCTCGGTTTTCTCTACTTCTACCTTCCTAAGTACTGAAGTGACTGTTGCCACGAAAAGCAGGTATTACCGCTGTGGGACTTCTTGTTTAGGCCTCTGCACCAGGAAATTAAACGGGCTGTTTAAAAGGGCATGGGGGGGGGAGGGGGATGTTTCATTCAGAAAAAGCTGGATGGACTGGGACCAAGCATGAAGCGGGTATGTATCCATTCTCATGGTTGTCTTTACCTGAATGCATATGTATGCAAAGTAGAGATGTGAAGAGACTGGATTTGGAGATTAGGAATTTAGTCTGAATTCGAAAGCCTTTCCTGTTTGTGAGCAGAAGGGGTTTGTGCTTTGAGTACCTTATTACTTCTGTTATGTTTTTAAAGAAGCTCTCTGGGTTTCACAAACCATGCAGCAGGCGTGACCTTGACATGCCTCCAGAGGCCTAAGTGACCACTACTCTTTAGCTTTAAGGACTCTGTGTTGATGTACAGACTGTCCTTTCCCAGTGGAATTCTTCTACTTCCCACTTTCCCCAACTGCCCCAGAATTAGGACTCAGTCTAGATCAGTCTTGGGCTTCTGAACAGTGTGAACAAGTCCTCAGACAATGTTTTAACTTACAATTTTCTGTTAGGGAGTGAAGGATAAAGGACCTATAGGGAAACAAGTAACTAAGGATAAGGACTGGGGTTCTGGAGACAAAGCCACTATTCCAGAATTGAATTCTTCTGTCTGTCAACTAATAGCATTATAAATGAGGACCTGAATGGTGCTGTACTTTGGATAGATCAAGCATTATGGTTTCATGTTTGTGTTTCAAAAATATAGCCCCTTCCTCTCTTTCCTTCATTCTTTCTCTCTACTTTCCTCCTTCCCATCGTCTCATCACGTGTGTGGAGCACACACACATTAATACCCCTATTCTCCAAAAAGAAGCTTTTATTTTCCTAGGGGTGAAAAATGCAAAAGTCAAAATAAGCCCCCATGGAAGTATTCACTTCCTCCCTAAAATTAAAACTATATAGAAAGCATCATCACCCCTTTAGGCTCTGCTGTTTTTCACTGCTAGAAACAAGGCTGATGTGATTAAAAACAAAACAAAAATCTTACATCGTTAACTTCAAAAGGCCTCCAGAACCACCCGTGACATTTATTTCAGCTGCAGGATGACTTCTATGGGGCATCTGGCAGGGTACATGATTGACACCGGACAATAGTTGGGGTTTTGTTCAATTTTAATACATGATTTAATTCATCTGCCTCAGAAATTGTGTACCTATTCACCACAGCACGTGACCAGTGAGCTACTTTCTATGAAAGACCATGTGTTCTCTCCTCACTGTCTACAGTCAAGGGCTGTGCACACAGTAGGCCTTCTGAAGAGCTCTGAGTGTCTCAGCCTCTGGGCATGTGGGAAGAATTACTCATTCATTTCCAGCTGAGATGAACTTGAATTTGAACAGCTGAATTTGAACTCTGCCCTCCCTCCTGCCCAGCCAAGGGGGAGGGGTGTGATTCCATAACCTTTTCACCAAATCTGCCCTTTTCAGTATTAAAATGTTCAATATTAAAACTTTTTCCTCCATGCCTTGTGGATTTCTGAGTGAGTTTTGCCTCAGTCAAGCTAAGAATTTGTCTTAAAGTGCTGACTTTCCTCTGTGAATTCTTTAAGGATTACTGAGTCTGTACAGCAAAGCACAGCAGGAGACTCCTAGACCTAAGGCACCAACTTCCTATGGAAATGTTTAATATCTGTTCTATAAACATGTAGTTCTACTAGCAAGAATGTGTGCAAATATGCATTAAAATGTGTACTCAGCAACCTTCTGTTTGGGTGCTCATCTGTATGAAGCCGGAATGTTGGGGTTCAAGCCACTTCACGAAGCCCTTGGTGGGGCTCTGGGGTTCCGCTGGGTTCTGACTTTCTAAGGCTGGGGTCTACATAAACACCAGGGCTGGTTTCTGAGAAAGCCACACTCCATAGGATTTCAGAGATGGAGCCACAGTTTGGTGACAAAGGAGGATGGACAGCTGATTCTAATTTTTGTGTTCCTATGATTACTCGGGTGCTTAATAATAATTATTTGAGGAAAAAAACCTGCCTGACAGTGAAAGTCAGTATTCCGGAACAAGAAGACTGTTCAGTAAAGTGCTTGCTATTTAATCATGAGAATCTGAATGTATCCCCAACATCCATCCATGATGGTGCCGGGCGGTGGTGGCGCACGCCTTTAATCCCAGCACTCAGGAGGCAGAGGCAGGCGGATATCTGTGAGTTCCAGACCAGCCTGGAACTATAAGAGCTAGTTCCAGGACAGGCTCCAAAACTACAGAGAAACCCTGTCTTGAAAAACAAAAAACAAAACAAAACAACAACAAAAAAAAAGATGCATGATGGCATGACCCTATAGCCCCAGAACTGGCGAGTAGGGACAGGTGACTCTTGGGGTTCACTGGTCAGCCAAACTATTCTAGCCAAAATGGTCATTTCCAGGTGCACTGAGAACCCTCCTTCAAATTATAAGGCAAAAGACAGAGGAAGATATCTAATGTCAACCTTTGACCTTAGTGTGAGTTCCAAGACCAGCACACCTTCACACACACATATGCATCCCCCACCGCAGACACACAAGCATCTTCTCTCTCACACATGCATACCCTCACACAATGCAGCCCCACATACATCCCTTCACACACACATGCATCCCCTCACACACATGCAGCCCCTCACACACATGCATCCTCTCACACACACATGCATCCCCTCACACACACATGCATCCCCTCACGCACATGCAGCCCCTCACACACATGCATCCCCTCACACACATATGTATCCCCTCACACACACATGCATCCCCTCACACACATGCATCCCCTCACACACACATGCATCCCCTCACACACATGCATCCTCTCACACACACATGCATCCCCTCACACACACATGCATCCCCTCACACACATGCAGCCCCTCACACACATGCATCCCCTCACACACACATGCATCCCCTCACACACATGCATCCCCTCACACACATGCATCCCCTCACACACACATGCATCCCCTCACACACATGCAGCCCCTCACACACATGCATCCCCTCACACATATGCATCCCCTCACACATATGCACCCCCATATACAACCCCTCACACACAGGAAGCCAATGTCCATTTTCTGAATAACCTCCCCCCCCCCCCCCCGCAATGTTCATACACTCATTTCCCTTGCCATGTGGTTTGTCTCTTTGAGGGGAACCTAGAATCAAGCCGGGTCAAATGTGTGGGTAGAAGAGACGTGGAAAGTTTTAGAAAATAAAGGGGTTTTCCCTTTATCTAGCTAGTCGGACTGAGGTTGCTCGCACATAGAGGAAGTAACCCACATGCTTCTGAGACAGGTGCCAAAGCACTTCTCCAAAAGCAGGCCCTTCAGAGTAACCACAGTTTGTGCTTGTTCATTTGCTGTTTATTGTTCTGCAATACACCTCATGAGCACCAGGGGGCGATGTCCTCTCGTGGAGCAACACCAAGAACTTCAAAGCACAACAGTTACAAACTGAACACCTGACCTCTGGACCTTCACCAGCCCTCTCCCGGAAACCCCCACTGAGATATAAGTGACCACCAATAAGCAAAGGGGGCAGTGATTATTTCTTGAGCCAAGGCAGCCTTCTCTCCATCCTCTCATGCACACAACAGTGCAATATCAGGGCAAGTACTTTTGACCAAGTTTAAAACCACAGAGAAGTCTGAATCTTACAAAAGGAGAGGGGAATGGAACACAAAGGCACAGACTACCACAGATATACCACATAACTGCAAGGGACCAGCGTCTCATGAGGTGTGACAAATCCCACTTGTCATCCCTGGAGTCCCAGGCAGAGAGAACATGGCTGCTGGTGCTGAGACTGTGAAAGGAAAAACATGGGGTCCCCTGCTTGGCCCAGCAGAGCACATTGGAGCTTCTCTTGGGGTAAAAACTGTAGTCAATGTAGCTGGTGCCCAGGGCACAATCGCATTGAAATCCATTCTGTACCTTTTGGGGTTGGCATAAGAGAAAGAACATGGTAAAAGCAATCGCTTTGACTGACAGTACACTATTGCAATTTCCAGGTTTCCTTCAGCCCAAAGAGTTGAAAGATGAGGGTGAGGTAGCCCCTCAGAGCAAAAGCAAACGACGCGCAGCCATTCCAAAGTCCTCTGCAGGAATTCTTGAAGGCATGAAGACTAACTCTCATTTCCCCCGCTAGAACAATCACTCCCTTAGAAGTCCTCTTGGGTTCTCTTTCTTCTGCCTTGAGCTACCCCTCTCCTCTGCCTTGTGAGAACATTTCCCACTGCCCAATTCCACAGCTCAGAGCCTGTTTCTATCTCTTTGCTTCCCGCTGCCTCATTTTCCTACCCATGGACTCCCATCTATCTTCCTATCCTTGCTGCCAAGAAGCAGGGCCAGTTAGGTACCAAGGGCACTGAAGGCAAAAATGACTATGTAAGCCCTGAATGAGGCTCTGATAATTTCTGAAATATGTTAACCTGATAAAAGGCATGGGTGTGACTTTAAATTCCATGAGCTATGTCTTCCATTTAGTTCTGATGCTTCTTTCTCTATTATGGCAGAAACTTTCCCCAGGCTCAGTGAACTCAACAGTCTCCTTCATAGTCTGCTAAGTAAGACAAAATGGCCTCCCACTGATAGAAGGCCTTGGAAAAAGATGGCCAAACACTCTCTCCTACCTCAGCTCCCCCTAGTGGGAAGCAATTACAGTTCCATTAGCCATTTGTAGAGTGAAAGAAAACTCAGTACCGGTATGTTCCAGGGAACTGGACTGATTCTCCTGGCCACAGCCTTATCAACAATGCTGGAGGCCCCAAAGGAGGCATGTCTGGAGCAGGGTGTTGTGAAAGTGTGGACTCCAGTTACAACTTAAGTACCACTGTGGAAGCTTGCTTTATTCCTCTCTCTTTGTTTCTTCTTCAAGCATCAAAACCTTTCAAATCTTAAGAGTTATATATGAATATATATACATATATTTGACGTATATATGTATATATACACACACATACACAAATACACACCAAATCCACAACATGAGTTATATAAATTCGAATTAGTATTCAGAGGAACTTTCCCCAAACACAGTTCAAAGAATCCACTTCCAAAGGGAATACTGATTTCCCTTTTTGATTCTTCATTCTCTCTTACCAGATACCTAGTCCATTCTTTAATGGAGTCAAAGGTGAGAAGATGTTGGGGACAGACTGGATCTTGGGACAACACCCAGATGTAGGTTAGAGAAGACTACAATGTGTTCCTAACCATGTTAGGAATGAACTAAAGAGGTTCCCACCACAATGCTTTTGGTCAACCTGTATTAGATGGGGGCTGAAGAAAAGAGGACTGGTAGCATCTCTGGCCTTGAATTAGCAAATCTGCATGGAGATGAACTGAGCTCTTATATAAACAAGACTGGATGGAGGTTGGCCCTGATCTAATATTAATAAGAAAGAGAAGGGTCAATCTAGCTCTTGATCTTCCCATGTGCAGGTCTGTGCATATCAGGGTGCAAGTTTATCATGAGATGGGCTGGTAAAGGGTAGGAAAACTCAAAGGAGGGGCCACACCTTCACTGTTGGATCTCCAACAGAACTGAGATTTGATATGTGAAAGAGAATTCGGAGACATGATGGGACTTTCCCAACAACCTAGCCCAGTGATGCACACCCACCCACACAAACATAAGTGCCTACACAGACAACACAGAGACAAGTATGGGCTCCAACTCACAGTGACTTGATGAAACTGAGCTGGTCTGAGATGAGTTGGGAAGAAGGCTATGGGCTCCCCTCCCTGAGGATAGTGCAGATGCTCAGTGGGATGCAGGCTCTGGTTTGATCAGACAGGGGCTGGAAACAGCATCACACAATGCCACCCCAGAGAGGAATCCCTGAGTCCTTCCATCCACGTGAGAGAACCAGATGCCTACGGACAGGTCAACGGCATGAGGAAGAAGAGGGCAGGGCCCAGAGAAGCCAGGGACTACACTGAGAGCTGAACACGCTCCCAGAGGCTTTTGACTCTGACCCTCTTGGCATGAACTGCTTCCTTTAACCTACACCAAGGCATCCAATTTCTGATGTCACAGCAGTCTATACCTCTCTCCCCAGTCTTGCACAGTGAGAGCTCCCTGACTCCAGTGGAGGAAAAAGGAAAAGCAGAAACTCTGCTATCAAAGCAGAGAGGAAGCAGCAAGAAGCCAGCTGAGGCACGGGATCTCCGCTTCACAAGGCCAGGGTATGGAGTGCCTCGACACTGCCCATACCTTAAGTGTGCTGACCACATCCCCAACTTAGGGGAAAGGAGAGGCGCAGGTTCTTGCCTTCCCAGCACTGAAAACTCCATGGGGACAAAGGGGGGATGGCCCTCATCCCACATCCTGTTTGTATTGGATAAAGCTTATGAATGACATCACCTTAATCTAGTTCCTTCTGTGACCAAGAGGGGTGCGAGGTGGAGACAGAACAAGAAAGAAAACAAGGGAGTCAGGAAGCATGGCATCAACTTCCAGGGGACTCTCTTCACTTCCTGCCATGTAGTCCCTCAGGTCCCCCCGCCCCACCTCAGTCTTTTTCCTGGGCAGTGCTGTCTTCAGAGATACCCTGGGCAGCTAGTTCAGCCAGCACATTATCCAGGTAATTGGCATCTGGGTAGCCATGGCCGGTGAGATTAGAGCCAAATTCTGTCTTGTGGTGCACCTCATTCCAGATGACGGTGTCGGACTCGCCCGTGGTGCTGGAGGTTCCAATGGCAAAGATGAGACGGCGATCCCAGGCCACCAGAAGCAGCTTCAGAACCTAGGGCAACAGAGTGGAGAGACCACAGGCTGTTGTTCCGTATTGGTCTTCAGATGGTGGATTCATCCCAACATCCCCAACCGCCTGCCCCTTCATCGTGATGTTCTAAGTAACCCAGAAGAAGAGAAAGAGATTTGAAATTGGAGTCTGGGCATTCTACAGTGAATCTCAGCTCTGTCACTTTCCGACAACTTCAAACATCTTTCTGAGCTTTAATTTGTTTATCTATAAAATGCCAATAGGATCACCCACCCCAAAGATGGTGCGCATGTGTAGCGTAAGCATATGCACATGTGTGGGAACATGCAACTGTATGTGTGCGCACTCGGAAGCCACCGGAGGAGCTGTGTTTTGCTGGAGGGCTCTCCACCCATTTTCTTTTTTGAGACGGGGTCTCTCACTGAATCACTGGGAAGGGCAGAACAAAAAAGTATGGCGCAGCTGCAAAAACCCACAACTAAGCCCACGTTTAGGATCATGGAGCTGTGGGGATGAAGGGCACCGACTAATTATGGTATTGCTAAAGGAATTGGTGAGAGGAGATGGGTTACATGCATCCTGTCCCGTGGGGACTCATGCTAAGTCAAGACAAGTATTCCTTGTAAAGAAGGCAGGGAAAGGCCATTGAGGCATCATGTGCTGCTTGAAAAATTAATTACTTTTAAACAAAGGCACATGATGCCAGAAATTGTATTTTGGGATAACTGACATGGTGTCAAGAAAAAAAAAATGAGGCAGCCTCCTGTAGGACTAGCAGAGGAGTAAGAGGCTGGAAAGGCAATGCGGGGAGGAATGAGCCGAGTGTATTTGGTCACTGAAAGCATGAATTCAAGACGGTGACTGTGCACAGTCTGGCTTCCAAGGGTTTGAGGTCTGCTGCTACACAAAGAGGAAGGTCTAGAAAGAGGGTAGCCTTCAGCCATGTGGGTGTAGTCGGGTGCTTGTTTGAGACAGTATCACTCATCCCTGCATGGCCTCAAACTTAACAGGTTCAGCACTGAGACTACAGGCAAGTGTAAGGTGTTCGGTTATAAGTGCTGAGGATGAAAGCCAGGGTTGCCCACATTCTAGGCAGTATTCTACCCCCTGAACCACACTCCCAGCCCATGACTGCAGTCCGAACAGCAGACTTCACAGTGGGGACATTCAGCTGCAGATCTCGGGCTGAGGCACAGAAATTTGTCTCTTGGTGGAGAACAGTTGGCTGCCTTAGTTCTCACTTCAGTTTGAGGACAGGGCCCTCGTGCATCTTTCTTGGTGTTGTCCTTGTTATTCTTTTCCTTGTTGGAAGGACAGAATATACCCACACCCCGTGACACTGAAGCCCTATGGAAAGATAGGGCGTATTAGGAGACAGGAGGGGGAAATGGAAGCCTCCACTTTGGAGTCGGGTTGAAATCTCTGGGCAGCTGAGAATGAATAATTCCAGGACAATTTACATTTGGTGTAAAGGCTGCACACACAGAGACATTTCTTTTGCACAGGCATATTTTCAAATAAGAATTTTAAAATAGCAATAAGCCAGGATTAAGGGGTGCATGTACACAAGCTTGAGCAGGAATCTTTTCCTATTTTCTGGGACTCTCAAACTGCTCATTTTGTTTACTGTGAAGACATCTTGCCTTCCTGTATCCCTATGGTCTAGCGTTTTCCTTATCAATTGGAATCCTGTCAGAGGTCCTGTAGGACCACTCTATGGTCTCATTTACATTTCTTGGAAATTCTTCAGTCTGGCTTCCAAAACGGGAAGACACATGGGGAGTCTGGGGGTAAGTGCTTATGCACCCCCTAAATTCATGTGAACTTCTCATCACCACCTCCAAAGTAAACATTAGAATATGGGGCTTTCTGAGGTTCATTAAGTCACAAACATGAATGCCAATGAATGAGATCAACACTCTAATAAAAAGGGACTGGGAAGAGAATTTTTGCCCTCTCTCCCTGTTGAGGACACAGAGAGAAGAGGCTTTGTCTATGAGCAGGAAGTGAACCTTTGCCAGATTCTGACTCTGCCAGCACCTTGATCTTGGACCTCCTAGACCCCAGTACTACAAGAAATAAACATCTGCTGTTTATGAGCCACTCTATGGTCTGTGGCACTTTGCTGGAACTCAAACACGCTCGCATATGCTCAAGCTTTAAACCCACCGCAGCAACATAGCCATTAACACTGGAAATGTAGAAAGACAGACATGTGTTGAGTAGGCTGACTAAAAAAGCATGCCTCTTACATTTCCCCAATATGTCCCCAAGACTAATGTTCTTAGCCCTCTTGACATCAGGCAAGACTCTGAAAATCCAGTCCTTCCAAGTAAAATATTGAGAAGTCTTGATGATGAATTACGAGATATCCAGAAAACAAACAAAATAATTTCCCACCAACAAAGATCCCAGCATACTCTGCTCATGCTTTCAAGAGTGCTCAGATTAGATCAACCAGGGATCCCGAGAAGATGAAATAGGTTCCAGTTCTGAGTTTCTGGTGTGCTCTTAGGAGTTAACACTAGTGTTTCCCCAGGACCAGCTTTAAAACAGCAGGGCTCTGGCTAAAGATCCTAACATAGGTGAATTATTGCCAGTATTACTCAGAGGAGAGGAGAAGAAACCATTCCACTCCCAACTATCTGCAAAAGTATTCTTATCAGGCTGGTGAGATGACTCTGTGGGCGAAAGCACTATGCATGCTTGATGACCTGAGTTTGAATCCCCAGAACCCACGTTAAAAGCTGGGTGCAGTGGTTCACATCAGAATCCCAGCACTGCTGTGAAGAGATGGGTGGTAGTGACAGAAGAATCACCTGGAAGCTTTCAGGCCAGCTAGTCTGTAGTAGGCAACGCAGCAGCAAGAAACAAGAGAGGCCCTGCCTCAAAGCACAAGGTGAGAACTAACTCCTGAAAGTTGTCCTTGGACTTCCATATGTATACCGTGGAATATGAGTGTCTGAAATCCCACAGATATCATACACATGTAACACACACAGAGAAAGAGATTTAAAAAAAAAAATCAAATAAAACATCCTAATGATACCAATTCTTACCAATGGTATACTCCAATATGACCTCACTACTGCATATACACAGTTAAACCAGGTCCCTCTTCTCTGTGCATTGCAGAAAAGCAAAATCAACCCCCATCCCTACTATAGAACATCTGCTCTTACTTTTCTCCCTTTCTCGCTGTCTGGAAGGTAACAATGTCGTGGGAAGCCACGGGCGCTGAAGCTCTTCCCAGGATTTGGATGTTCTGGTCCCTGAAAGCAGAAAGAAAACAAAGGCATCTTGCAAAACATTTCTGATGAGAAGCTAGTTCAGGCTTGGTGGGACAATAACAAGAGCCACAGAGTTCAGGCAGAGGACAACCCTCCCACCCCCAAAATAATAATAACAAATTTAAAAAAAAAATGCTCAGTCTAAGTTGTCAACATTATGTGACCTGAGTTTGGCCCGCAGCTGCTAGCTCCCTGCTGGACCACATAGAATTCCCCTTTGGCAGGAGTGATTTGGAGCACCCCCTTAAGGGGTGCTGCCCATGCTCTGTGAGTTTGGGGCCGATCTTCAGAAAGAGCACAGGAAATTATATCAGCATCAGTACCAACACCACCTATTCTACTGTTTTATGAATGGTGAAGACCACAGCCCACAGAAGCTAACTGGCTGCGAGACATTATTGCCTTTGCCCAAACTGACTTAATCCTATGTTTTCTGAGGCTTGTGCACCGGACTTTCAAACCAATTACTCGAAATAATAAAGTTCTCTGAGCTACAAGCCATGCGGTCAGAGTTTTTCGCATGATCTTCTCCTTGGTCTTCATGGGTTTTGCTTCCTTATTCAACAACACCGAGTGCAATGTTCAGGACCGAAAATCTTGAGGCACTTAAACTATCATCACCCAATACTTTATTATGCAAGTCATCTCAGGACACCGAGTGGGAAAGACATGAACAGAGAACGGAGTCTGAACCCAGATGCTAGGGTACTCTTGCTGGAATTTGGCCTCCATTGCAGCCTTGTGGGCAGCTGTGGCGTGTAAGCGGTGATGAGGCTGTCGGAGGGATGAATGCCTTTCTTCGGAGAGTTCTCGTCTTGCTCTCAGGGGACTGACTGATGTTGTGAAAGCAGGCTGCTTACAAAGCAAGGCGGCTCCTTGTGTCCTCCTCTTCTGAACACATCTGCTTTCTATTTGCTCCCATTTGCCCAACGCTACCAGGCACAACTTTCGGACTTCCCATGCTCTAGAACCATGAGTTACATTAACCTCTTTTAAAAAAAAAATCACTCAGCTCAGAGATTCTGTTATAGCTACAGCAAAAAAGAACAAGGTAAGAGGCTTCCCCATTAGTGTCTGTCTGAGTCTCATTTTTGTTAATATGGCAAAATATCCCGACCAAAGAATTTAAGGGAAAGGGAGCTTATTTGGCTCACAATTACAGGTTACAGTCCATCCTTGTGGGGAAGTCAAAGTAGCGAGAACTTGAAGCAGGCAGTCACACTGACCCACAGTCAAGAGCACAGAGCAATAGCATAATACATGCACAGCAGTCTCACCCCCTCTGCTCTTCTGCATGACAGAGCCCCCTTTCCTAGGGAATGATGTCACTCACAGTGGGCAGGTCTTCCCACCTCAACTAATGCAATTGAGAAAATCCCCCACAGGCACACCTATAAACCAATCTATACAGTCCTTCATGGGATTCTCTTGCTGGGTGATTCTAAATTGTGCGACACTGACAGAGCTATCACAGGGCTCATCAGAGTCACTGGTCCCTACGAGAAGTTTACGGAGGTTGGTAAGACAACTTTCCACCTATACACATGCCCGTCTATCATTTCTGAACATTCCTGACCCCCTTGGAAGTAGAACCTTAGTTAAAGCTCATTGTGAGTGCAAGCCACACAATACTGACAGTACTATGCAACTGTTGGCACACACCCTCCCGCAGATCGATAAACGCCTGCCAGCTGGGTATCGGGTGAGCAAATGAGTGAATGAATGAAATTAAACTCACTGGCTCAGAAAAAGGAGAGGGGCTGTCGGGGGACAGGATTTTGGTAGGCGAGAGGGAGGGGTGTGAGGGCAACAGGGGTTGAAAACACTCAAACTCAGTGTGCACATGTATAAAAGATGCCAAAGAGTAAAAACACTAAAAAATTTTAAAGTATGCTTTTATTTATTACTTGGGAATTCTGTATCTGTATACAGTTTTTTATTTTGATCATACAAAAAATGTTAAAAGATAAACAAATGTCACTGTGAGCCAAAGGAAGCAGTGAGGTTCCTTCGGAGTAAAAGAGTCTGACAGACTTGACTTCACATTCAGAATAAATCTCTACAAATGTGCGGCCTCCCCAGGGCCACACTCCTCTAAGGTAGGCTTCCTCACTGAGGGACCAAGCCTGACCACAGCTCTGACTGCTTCTCTGATGCCTGGGGCTGCTGTGTGTGCGTCCAGCTCAGCCTGAGTGGCACTGACCCAGTCAGGCTGTGCAGTCTGGGCCTGTCGCCAGGTAAAGCAGTCACGACTCTGCCTCAGCCGGGCCCAAAGCTTCTCCCAAAGGGACTCACTTTCTGCAGTGAAAGTGGAGCTTGAAGATCTCAGCTCAGCGAAGCCCAAGCCTGCACTGTCCCTGGAGCTTCAAGGGACACAACACTGAACATCTTGCCACTGACTCAAAAGTAGTGAGTCTGCAGAGCATCTGACTGTTTAGAGATTATTTCCGCTCACAAGCCAGAGTGTTCCTGGAGGTGCTGGGGCCCTGAATAGGCAGCATTGGCCCCTCTGCAGAGGCTTTCTCTCTCCCTTGATTCTGGAGACTTAAAAGTGTGGCATTCTCGCCGGGCGGTGGTGGCGCACGCCTTTAATCCCAGCACTCGGGAGGCAGAGGCAGGCGGATCTCTGTGAGTTCGAGGCCAGCCTGGTCTACAAGAGCTAGTTCCAGGACAGGCTCCAAAGCTACAGCGAAACCCTGTCTCGAAAAACCAAAAAAAAAAAAAAAAAAAAAAAAAAAAAAAGTGTGGCATTCTCAATGGATGCCCCACCTCCTCGATCTTTTGACCCCTGCTGGGCTTTTTTCATTTTCTTTTTAGTGTGTATTTGTGTTCCACAGTGCATGTATGGAGGTCAGAGGGCAACCTGCAGGAGTCAGCTCTTTCCTTCCACTCATGGAGTTCAGGGACTGAACTTGGTTTATCGGGACTGGCTCTCGGTTGTCAAAATTGGCAGCAGCATCCTTACAAATGAGCCATCTTGCCAGCCCACTCCCACGTTTCCATTCTTCCCTACCACTGCGGCAGCTGCCCCAGAATCATTCTGTAAGTCTCCCCTGAGCAATAGCCAACCACATCTTACTTTCTTACCCTGGCCCTCCCTTTATGGGGGAGCCTGAAATGTTGCAGTGGTCTTATTTCTACTCATCTCCTGTTCTTAAGTCACACTGGCCTCTTAAAGCATAATGCCAATTACTGACGCACGATTAATAAAAACTCACAGAGAGAAATTGGGGTTCAACCTGAAGATCCGGAAAGCAAAGCAGCCAGCCACTGGCTCTCACCTCAACCTCAATGGCGATCCAGAATGAGAATGTGACTTAGAGCTGTCTCCTCTTGTCTTATATTCCTCTCTAGTTCTGGGATTAAAGGTGTGCACCACTGGGATTAAAGGCATGCACTGCCCGGTTTCTATGGTAACTAGTGCGGATACTGGGATTAAAGGTGTGTGTTACCACCGCCTAACTGTTTTACTCCTGATCCCCAGGCAAGCTTTATTTATTAAAATACAATTGAAATGCCACTACAAATTTACATGATGTTTCCTAATCCTAATCATACAAGCAGTCTCCAGGGGCTCCTCATAGCCAGTCTCCGTGCGCGGCCCGCACATTTAAGGCCTTTTGGGACCTGTCCCCTAGAACCTCATCAGGTTCCTTCTTCCCTGCCTTTCATAAGTCTCAGCTCCCAACCTCCTAACTGAGTATATTCTACTGTCCATAAACATGCAATTTTTCTCAACAATTGTTACCTCCTCCAGATAAAAATGTACAGAGTACAGATGCAGACAATTCTTTGTCTTTCATGGCTTCACTAGAGAGTGCCCTGCACCAGAAAGTCTCCTCCCAGCTTCCAGAGAGACCACACATAAGCACCTCTTCCTCACCCTAACATCTCAGCCAATCAGAGAGCAGGAAGCCAGGTCCTGAGCCCTTTGGTAGTAGTGGGTCCTGAGAAGTGCACTCGGACAGATCTCCCCCACTTGGCTCTCTGCCTAGCAGATTCCCAGCAGTACAGATGAAAAAAACGGAGGCAGCTGGAAGACAGGAAGTGGGACCCGGGGTCATGAGACTTTGAAGCCCCGCACCCCACCCCCCCATCTGTGTCACTTTCATCAGTGGTGCAGATCTGTCTCTGCTCTCCAGATCAGAAGGGAGAGGTGATTATCTTACTCTGCCTGGCTCCCACGTGCCCCAGGGAAGATGTGTGTTTTATGAACTATCACACTTCCCTGTTTTACTTCCTCATAAGACATAACATTGGAAGCACTTTGCCATGTATTTGTTTACCGTCCTCCTGACCCCACTGGCTTCAAGGGATCAAAGGCTGAACCAATTCTAACACTGTTTCACCCGTACCTAACACACACCTGGGCGTAACCGACAGGCAAACATTGTCAGACCAAAGACAAGCAGGAAGACACGGATGGGGGTGAGAGAGAATGAGCTAAGCAATGTTGGCTAAGGGATGAGTCCAGTCTGCTCCCAAGAACACCGAGGAAAGGCTCCCCTGTATGAGGGAAGGGCCACGTCGCACTGACTCATGGGATTATTACCCAGAATGTTCCTGAACCAGAGAGGAAAGAAATGCCACCAAAGACAAAGCCAGGCAGAACCATCTATTTTTTTTTTAATGCAAATAACTGTCTGATCAAGAAATTCTGCTTCCAGGAACTTATCCTACAGACGTGGTCATGGGTGTACTATGTTATTAGTGATAGCCATATCTGCTCAAGCAGAAGACCACAATCTAAACAGCGAGTGGAGATGTTGAAATACATTATGTATAGACTGGATTATTACACAGATGTAAGAAAGAATGAGGACATTTTATATGAACACAGAAAAAAAATCTAAGGTCCATATTGTTAGCTGAAAGAAGCAGAGTGTGAAACAATGCGCCTAAATGTAGCTCTTTGTGCAAATATGGGAGGGGAGGATGTGGTCTGCACGGAGTAGATACAAAGAATGCTGGAAGGATACAGAAAATTAAGAACAATGGTGGTGAAGGGGGAGCCAGGGGGCGTGAGACGCAGGACCGGGACAAGGATGGAAAGGAGGTTTTTCCTAGTCTAACATTTTACCCACAAACACTCACAGTTGCAATCATAAACGGCACCATCCAAGGGCGGGCTCACCTGAATGCCAGGTGGGATACTGTAGATAATTCGGATGGTCTTGCAGTCCGGGTGGCCAGGCAAGGAGTGTGGAATGAGGTGGTACTCCATCTTTCCTGGAGGCTGGGTGCCTGTCTTGACACCATAAATGGTCTTACATGTTGGACACTGCAAACTCCCATCCTAAGGAAACAAGTTGCACTTCAGTCAAATTAGGAAACTGCTTCGGTCATGACCTTTCCTTCAGCCTCCTAAGGCACCAGAGACCAAGGCCTCAACAGACAAAACTCACCCAACCAATAACAGGCCTGAAGCCCTCTCAAGCTACCTAGGCTATTTTGGCTTTCTCTAAAATATAAGGAAGAAAATGGCTCAAGCAACTGAGGCGCACAGATGAGACACTGGTCCTTGAGAGGAAGCGCTAACCAGGGCAGGAAGCCTACAAGGGGAATCACAATTTAACTAATACCTATATGGGTAGAACACATGGTAACTGCTTTAGAGCTGAGTTCCGGACTCACCCGGGAAACTGTGGGACCCCACATCAGGCCCACCGAGTCAGAACTGGCAGCCTAGAAGGTTCAGAGTAGAATTCTGAAGTAAATCTTTCTAGATTTGAGTCTCAACTTTACCTTGAAGCCTTGGACAAGTTAATTTGTCTCCATTTCCTTGCAGAACAAGAAATATAAACTTCCTCTTTCACTGTGCTAATGAAAGTTAAGTGAGATACGTAGAGAAAATGTTTAGCCTATGTCATATTTAAATGCTATCAGTGTGCTCATATCTGTGGAGAGACTAATGCCTGGGTCCTGTGTTGGAAAAGAACAAAAATGACTTTAAGGAAAATAGTTCTTGCTGGGCGGTGGTGGCGCATGCCTTTAATTCCAGCACTCAGGAGGCAGAGGCAGGTGGATCTCTGAGAATGTGAGGCCAGCCTGGTCTACAGAGCAAGTTCTAAGACAGCCAGTGCAGCACAGAGAAACCCTGTCACAAGCAAATAAACAAAACAACAAAAAACAAAAACAAACAAAAAAAACACACACAAAAAAAACAAGGCTCTTAGAAACAGTTATAAATTGGCTCCAGCGGGGAAGGAACTGAGATTCCCCCAGAGAAAAGGAAGTTGAGGGACATCAAGAGGGAAGTACTTGCCACCAGCAAGGGCTGGAATTCCAATGAAGTCCCTAAATCTCCCCAGTCTCTGCCCTACACCACACAGCAGGTCATGACAAGTTTGTCCCTCAAGGCTCATGGGTTAAGGAACTGGTTTCTCCCTGGGGAGCTTTTGTAGAGTGACTGGCTAGACCTCCTCAGTAGATTAAGCAATTGGTGGAGGGATGTGATGGCAGCCAGTAGGTGTGAAGGGCAGGAAGAAAAGGAGGTGAGGGAGGGAGGGATAGAGGTGGACACACACAGAGGCTACATGATATACACAAGCAGGGCTTGCCCTCAGTGACAGACTTCTTCCATCCACACCTCATGTGCTTGTGGCCACGGTTTGCCTCATCACAAACCCACAAAGAATTCTGACAACCACAGAAATTGAATGTTGGTTGTGGAGACAGTAATGTAAACGGTTGTAGTTTCATAGCAGGATCTGGTGAAGAGTCACCTGATAGGGCTAATAATAACCTGCAAGAGGTCCCAGGCAGCATAGGGAACTGTCAGGTTCTGAGAGAAGGAAGGGGAGTAACTGGGAAGGAAGCAAGCACGGGCAGCAAGCATGTATGCAGAACATGATGCTGGGCAGCTGGGACCAAGGCCCTGGCGGACAGACACCTGGAGATTTTAGGAAGAAGGAGATGAGACACTCTTAGAGATATTTAGGCATGTTTCCATCCACGGTTGACTTGCTTTAAATAACAGCTAATATTCATAGTCATCACCCTCTGAAACCAGGGTCCCGCTTTTTCCACTAGCCTTAATTTGCTTTATGGCCTAGGGCGAATGAGTCCATTCTCTCCCATGCTTCAATGTGCTTAAGAGAATAAAAATGCTTCAAAGTACTCTTGAGAGGGAGAGCAAAAGGCATGCTTGAGAAACATGTTTAGAGCCCTCCAGACATACATGGAATGACTGGGCAGTCTCGGGAGAGTCATCCAAAGGGGAACAAATGTGCTAAGACACCCCAAAATCTCCAAAAGATCTCTGAAATGGTCAGGCTCTCATAAAAGATTTCAGCCCTTGGTTATGAAAGGGGACATGGACTCTTTCACTTCACCAATGACAAAGGACATCTGGACACCAAGCAAGATGACGAGGTTAGCCATCCAACCCTATGTAAAGATGAAAGGGGGAAATGAAAGCCATAATAAAACAGAGATACAATTGTGAATAACAGTCATAACATGTGTGAAGTAGTCATTGATCTGGAAGGTTGGCACAGAAGGAAAGCAGCTTGTTTACAGTCATTGAGTTTGATCCCTACAATGCCAGAAGTGGGGACATTCACTTGAAACCTGGTGCTGGAGAGATGGAGACAAGAGGATCCCTGGCACTTGGTGGCCAGCCACCCTAGCCTAATTCGTGAGCAACAAGACATCCTTGTCTCAAAAGAGGTAGGTAGTGTTCTAGAGATAATACCAGAGGGTGTCCTCCAGCCTCCTCATGTACATGTGAGCGCGCACGCGCACACACACACACACACACACACACACACACACACGGGGTGGGGAACAGCTACTGTTTCATCCCCCACTACACAAGACCCCTAAAAAATCCAGACATGTTCTTGGGTGAGTTAGAAGCTGAGTGGCACCATGGAAATAAATCTCAGACTTGTGAGCTGGTGAGTCCAGAGACATGAGTAATTCTCAAACCCAAAAGAAGCGGGTGATGGTGGGTCCAGACATGGGCAAGAATGCAAGTCAATGACTTCGAAAAGCCCAGATACTGAAAAGCGAAAACTGTCACTTAGAGAAACACCCAGCTATGTGAAACTATGATGGGAGATAATGGAAGAGGCCTAGTCTCATACTCCAACAATCGATGCTAACAGCAGGGATTACCAGGTACACTGACAACACCTTTGCTGGGACAATCTAAGTGTTTTGCCATTGTTCAAAGATGAATTTCAACTTAAGTCACTCGCATGAAGAATAAAAGCTATTGGGAGTCCACGTACAGTGTTATAAATGAACACATTCTCACTCTGGGTGTGGAACTGTGATGAAGGCCCCCTTTACTGATGGGAACCCACGTCACTCAGCTGTGGACCATTTTCCAAAGAATCTTCATAGACAAAGCTCACCTCTGCTAGACCACCATACATACAACCCAAACTAGAGAAGAGGAGAAGCTTAGCCCAAATGAAGACAGATTTTGCAATGTGGGGGCTAATTAATCCTGAAAACAGCAAAGAAGAAAACAGTGAAAATGCTCATTCCTGTTGCCCTGATGGGAAGGTTAATCCTGCTTGTCGACTTGATGGAATTTAGATTCACTATGGAAACATACCTCTGGGCACGTCTGTGAGGGACATGTTTCTAGAATGTGCTGTAGCCATCTAAATGATCTCCATTCTATGGGCTGAAGTCCTGAACTAGATAAAAAGGGGAATGTGAGCTGAGCACCGGCATCCGTCACTCTCTGCCTCCTACCTACACATGGACCAGCTCCTTCAAGCTCCTCCCACCACCACGACTTCCTCACCATACGGCTGTCTTCAACTGTGAGACAAAATAAACCCTTACTTCTTTAAACTACTTTTGCCAGAAGTTTGTAACAGCAATAAGTATCAAATATACCTGGAGTACCTGTTACATGATCTAAACCATTTTATGAGAGAACAAGGACACCTAGGAACAAACCGTGGCTGACTCCCCCCACCGCCGCAGATACTAACCTTGTTCCCATTGTTGTACATGGCCACCAGGCAGTAGATGTGGTAGATGTGGCCACACCTGGACAGCTTCCCCACCAAGTCAGGCTTGACAGTAGGTTGTGGGCCCTTGTAGCCAGAAGGGGCTGTGAGGCGCTCCATACAGATGGTACAGTCCTGGAAGGTGAAGAACAGAGAGGCATCAACTCTCACCCAGCCAGGACAACCAGGGTATAATAGTTCCTGGATGATGGCAGGCATCAGATGAGTGGTTCACCCCTCTTCTAGAAAGTCCACACATCAGGGATGCTGTGTTTGGTGGGGCCGGTTTCTAAATATAGTGCTGTCTTGCTTTACACAGCAGAGAAATTCCTCAAATCATTCTTATACTTGACAATTTGGGCTCACTGACTACATTATAATCTTGACGCTACATTGCTCTTCCTTGGTGTCTTCCAGCTGCTTGTCAAAAGATATCATGAAAATCTTTGCTTACGCCGCATGTCTGAAAGGATATTATATTTCAAATTAGAGGGGGCTTGTATCTAAATAAATCTATGACTGTTGACTGTGGCAGGGAAAGTCTTTGCTGTGGGTACTGTTCCAGGCCTTACGGGGTGCTCAGAAGTTTCTCTGGTTTCTACCCACTAAATGTTAGCAGCACACTCCCTAGTCAATCACCACAACCCAGGGAATCCCCACACAAGGCCACATGTTCCCTCAGGGGCAAATCATTTCAGATGAGAAACTCTGGTCCATATCAAATCCATTCTAAAGGGAGTTCACAGAGCTTGGCACACTGTTTAGCTTAAACTCAGACAAGCATGGAAAGCAGCTTAGAATCGTTTAGAATTCTGCTAAATGGGGCTGGAAACCTTGAACCTTGAAGTGATGGCATCAGCTAAATCTGCCCTGTGCCAGCCAGACTGAGAACACAGCACCTGCCACATCCTGCGGAACATGGGGACAGAGGACATGCACTTGGTGGTTGAGAAAGTGAACCCTACCCTATGCCCCCTGAACTCACCTCTTCTGGGGGATGCCGGACCTTCTGCAGATATTTCTTTAACACTTCCTCTGGGGTTTTACCTATGGGGACAGGACAATCACTATATCACCAAGACGGAGGAGATAAATCAACCAGCCTTGCCATTCTATGTTCTTCAGAGAGGAGAGTGAGGTGCAAGTTCAGAGAAAAGGGGACGGGAGGAGCTGAGTTAGTAAAGTGTTTGCCTTGCAAGAATGAAGACCTACGCTTGGTCCCCAGAAACCAGATGAAAAAGCCAGTGTAGTGGAACATGCTTATAATTCCAGAGATAGGGAACTGAAGACAGGCAGACCTCTGGGGTTTGCTGACAGCCAGCAAACCAGCATGACTGGAAAGCCCCAAGCAAGCAAGAGACCCTGTCTCAAAAACAAGGTAAATGGCATCTAAGGAATGATATTGAGGTTGACCTCTGGTCTCCTCCCTGCCCCCCCCCCCCCCCACATACACACACACAAGAAAAGGAGGTCAAATTATTTTGCAATAGTTTAAGGAGTGTGAACAGAGGAGAGGTTGTCCCAGATCAATCCAAATGGCTTGAGGAGGGACGAGCTGCTCCTGTCTGTCTTGCACTCCTCCCGTCCACTCTGTGACATGTCTATTTCAGTAAATCCGCACTATAACTGAGATAAAACTATATTTCTCCTTCCTGCTAATCAAGGAGCCTAAACTTGCACAATGATCCCTGGAGAAAACAGGAATGCAAACACTTTGCATCGCTCCACAAACACCAGAAGTCGGCTTGCATTTCTCTTAAACTTGTTAAGCCCTAGCTCAGCTGTATAACATGGTGTCACACTCAAATTATTTTTATGGGAAAGCAGGAAGTTATGACCCCCAGTTTCAGGACAATCCTCCCTGGCTTCAGATAGTGCTGCTGCTGCTGCCAGCAGATGCAGCCCAGCAGTGGAGAGAGGTTAAGGCTCTGGGAAACAAACATACTAAGGGCCATAGGAACTAAGGATTTTCAGGAGCTGGATTTGAGAAGTAAGCTGACCAACCCAAAGGCAGAGGATAGGTTTGCATGGGTCTACAAGTCATCACAGAGCAAAGAGATCCTTGGAATCTCGGGCTACTCCCCTGACGCCTGCAAGCTGTTTTCTCACCCATAAAATAAGGACAATTGATAGCACCTACTGCAGCGGGTGCTTTGACGACTGAAGAGCTGATGTATGTACAGCCCGATAGCACTTGGCCAGATAAGGAGACAGTATGTGCTATTAATAGTGCCAGGAAGAGGGCAGAAGTGTAAACTCCTGTCCTGACCGACTGGACGAAGAACAAGGCATGTGAGCTCACTGGAGCAGGGAAATTGAAACAGACAGGGAAAGTAGAACAAGGGGTTGAGGAAGTTCAGCCAACAACAGCCAAAAGCTGAGATGCAGGTCCTTCCCTACCAATGCCCTGCTTCTCTGGAAAGAATTGGGCTTCTATTAGTTGAGAGCCTGTTACCTGTTGCCAGACCCTGGGCTAAGTGCTACACACAGACATTCTGACTCAAATTTTACAGGAAGTTTGTATGATGGAGGTGTGGGAGGAGAAGCACATCATTTCATAACCAAGAGCAGCCAGCAGGACAGTCAGCCACAGAATCAACCCAGAGTCTCTGTGGTCAAGGAGGGCACCCTTTCCCTTAGTAGCTGGATTACAAACAGGACACAGAGATTTGTGAACGAGAGTTCATGGGACCCAAGGCCCAGAGAGACATAAGACAGTCGTTGCTTTTCCGTTTTCATGGGCACATTCCAGGATATACCTGCTGGCATTGGGCATTACAAAGACAAGAAAGCAGAAGTTGCACCCAGCTAGCTAGTGACAAAGTTAGGGTTTCTTAAGGGTTTCTGTTCTGGCTCCAGCTTTGTGTCTCTTCTAACATACTGTCTTTGTAGAACACTTCACGTCTTTATTTTTCTGTTACTGTTGCTTTTCATGTCTATGTGTCTCCAGGTAGTTCTTTTTGACCCAATCAACCCACTTTGGGCGACTCATCAAAATCTACCACTGAGGCCTGCTTGGCAGAGGAGGAAGTGACAGCCCAGGGAGGGGAAGCCACGACTTTGACCTTGGTGCAGGCAGAGACAGGACTGGAAGCCCAGACTTTCACTCCACGTATCTAATCAGAAGAGGCCTGTACCTTTCTTGGCCTGTTTTTTGGTGGTCTTGCGGCTTGTGTTAGAGACCCCTGGGATGGACTTTATTTCACTCTTGCTGACAGGGGGTGGGTGGAGGACCAGCTTTGGTGGCCGAGTGAGGCACACAGGCAATCCAGCTGCACTCATGAGGATCCCGGTGATTCCTGGAAGGGGCAGGGCAGGGGTGAGGAAGTGCTGAAGAATGTGGTCCCAAGATTCCCACACCCCCCCTCCCATTTACCCACTCTTCTCCCTTGAGCAGATTTCCTAACTCATGTGTTCGCTATACACACATACACAGTTGTATGCACGCTTGGGTGTGCAGGTGGGTGAAGGCCGGAAGACAGCTTTGTAAGTTGTTCCTCAGAAGCTAACCATCTCACTTAAAAATTATGAATTAAATATACTTTTGCTCTGACCCCCACCTCTTAACTCCCCCTCGCTTGGTCTAAAAGCCCTGGCCCCACATTCGTGTCTTTCTGTTTTGGGAATCACTAATTCTGATCAGGGACTTCTGTGTGACCGTGGGTACAGAACTATCCATTCGAGTTCAGTGGGGTGCATAACTGAAGGCAACAACTCCCCCTCCCCCAGAATCTATCAACAGCCACTAGTTCAACAGGGACATGCAGGGCTCTCTGTGGCCCTCCCCAGTCCATGCCTGACCAATGGCAAGCCCACTCTCATGCAGGCTCCGTGTAGGCAGCCACAGCTAATGTAAGATCCTAACTGAGCTGTCTGTACTAAACTGAGAAGGTGGACTTGTACAGCCTTCTCCCTATCTTCCACAGCTTCCATTCTTCTTACCTCCCCACCCCGCCCCATTCCATGATGTCCCTTGGACCTTAGTTAGAGAGGATGCTCACCGTGTTTCTTGAGTCAAGATATCATTGGCCTGGACCTCACCAGGGGACTGGTGGCCAGCAAACTCCAGGAATATGCTTATCTCTGCCTCTCAAGCAGTAGGATTATATGCACACATCACTATTCCCAAATTGCTATTTTTCTTTAAAAAAAAATAAAAAACAAACCAGGGATTTTGGAATAAAAGTTTTGCCCTCATGCTTGCCTGTCAAACACTTTATTACATGAGCTATCCCCACAAAACCTCTGACATGCTCAGCTTTTAGCACCACCCCAAGTCTTCTTGTTCAACTCCTAAGTTCCCATTTTCTTCAGTTAGCATCCAAATTCTCTCCTCTTTATAAATGAGTGTCCATTAGCTATTCCATGACTGATGTTTCAGCCTCGGCCAGTCCAGCCCAGGTCAGCTAGTTCTTACCTGCCAAGGCAGGGTTGACAGGGCTGGACCCATTCAAGTTCTTCACAGGCACAGTGGGGACCCTGTGGAAAGAAAGGGCAAATGTAATATGGCTCTGACGAACATAACAAAATGAACCAGTGTTTAAACCTACCAAAGCACACTAGGTTCTTCACACATCAGTGGGAGGTAAGAGGTTCAAAAGTGAACTCAGATCACAACACCCGCCACTTAGAACCTGAGAATGCAGAATGGGTACCGTGAATGCCAGGGTTCCTGGCCCTGCGCTGGCTGCCAACACCTTTGCCCTAACTTCCTCGTCTTCTTCCAGTCTCTCCTCGACGCTTTTTTACTCTCTGTTCTTGCTAGTCCTGGTTCCTGCCAGTCACACTCCTGCCTAAGAACCTTCGTAAATGCCAGTAATTCTGCCTAGATGTTCTTCTACATTTCTGTCCATTTCCACTCACACTCAGCCTTGGCTAAAACAGATCTTTAGCCAAGATCAGAGCCATAACCCTTCCCCGCAAATGCATGCACCACAGGAATCTGCATTCCCCTGACCCCTTCTCCCCCGCCACCCCCCACACAAAAAGTTTCTCAGAGTGGAGATGCTGCAATCCCTGGTCCAGCACTTGGAAACCACTGCTTGAACAGCTGTCACTTCTCCTTGTCCCAGAAACTTATAAACACAAGCTGAATCTCCTCTGCTTCCTGTCCTGTCCTCCCCAGCTCTGGAGAGGAGCCCACACAGCTGCCTGGGAAAAGCTAGGCCGCCCACAGTGAAAGCACCCACAGAGAAAATACAGGACACACAGAGATGGGACTTGTGCCATTCCAGGCTTCTGCCACCCAGGCTTCCACAGCTGGCTCAGAGAAGCCAGCGGGACTGGTGAGAGAAGCCTCCGGGAGCCAGGCAGCCGGAGAATCCAGCTGGGGTGGGGCTGTTCTGGGAAGTCAGAAGGAAGACTTCAATAGTTATTTATGGGTCTATTTGAAAAGAACTTGTTGAACCCACTTTACTTGATGTTGGGGGTATGGCAGCTCTTTCTCCATCGTACTAGGGGGTAACCATAACTGTCCAAAACAGAAAAACCCACACACAATTCTCCCAACAATCTATGTAAGAGGCATGATTGTCAATCTTACGGCATGGGTAACAGGGCTAGGCACACAGAGGTTAGGAAAACCAGACCAAGATTACAACATAGTATGCTGCTCTAGAGCCTTCCACTCTGCCTCCCATAATGCCAAGCTGTCTGCTAGCCCATGCTGTAATGAACAAAGCCATTATTAGGACAGAAGAGAGGCCTAATAGCCAGGTCTCTCTATCCTACATAGGCTTAGTATGATGAAGCCACTTTCCACAAAGACAGATGCGGTGAAGCTCATAAAACAATGTTTTTTCTATATCTGGCCAAATCAAAAAGCTACTTTTCTCTCTGAACTGCTCCCTGAATAAGGGAAGACTGGATATGGGGAGGGAACAATGTCTTTAAATAAGAGTCACCAGACCAGGGAAAAAGGAGTAGACTTGATTTCAGGTTCTGTAAATGACCAAACACTGAAAACAGTAAGAAGTCAGCTAACTGCTTGAGCCTCGGTGGTCTAGGGTTATAATGTGTCCCCTTGGCAATTTCCCCTTCAACTGTTTGAGAGGAAGGTGACTCAAAAGCCCTGGACCCCCTCCAGGCAGATTCACCTTCCAGACTCTACATGGAAAGGCTTGAAGAGCCTGCCTCCTGTGGTAAGTTCCTTGGCTGCCCACCGGGGGACAGCACTCACACTACAGCCCTGCACCTGCCCCCTTTCACCACCTCCCCAGCCGGCCTCCACCTCAGCTGATAAAATACTGTGATCTCAGTGACAAAGGCCACCTTTGTTCCCACAAACTGGACTGGCGGGTTTCCACATGCTATCTGGTCAACCAGGAAATACTCCACTCCTCAGAGCAGCTCAAGAACTGTGGAGTATGGGGGTCTAAAGAGAGATAGGGGAAGTCTGTGTTTGGAACCCCTGAATACGCAGAGACACTGGTATCAACCGGTGGGGCCAACCTGGCCTGGTGAGTTAGGAAACGGGCAATGTGGTCCTTAGTCTGTGAACAGCAGTGGAACCAGGGTGTGTGCTTTCCCAAACACCAGACAGGGAGGGAGAAATGAACAGTGGCTGCCCCATCTGTATTCAGCCTGCTTTGCTTTTGGCAGTGCTGACCAGTTCCTCTGTATTCTGTGATCACATCTGTCTGCCTTTACCCCAGCTGTAAACGGGACCTGATAAATGTCTGCTCCCTCAGGGTCCCCATGAGGCTGTAGGATCTAGGTCAAGTAGGTGGTAAGCAGCAGAGCTTTGTGCAAATTTGGGCAACTGTTTATACTTTTATTTTCCAATCGTCAAAGGACTTGCTATCTGCCACTTCCTGCTTTAATAATCCAGTTTTCTCACATTCTTGAGCACAGGGTATCAGGTATAAAGGGCAGAGAAGAAAGCCCAGTAGTGCTGGGGACTAGGAGCAAGCAACACCTGCCTACCCTTCCCCCATGATTGCAGGTTAAAAGGAAAACCCCAGAAAACCTGTCCTCTGCCCTTGGGGCCTCAGCTATCTGAGCCAGAGCCCCTCCTAGGGAACAGCAATCCAATTACAGGCCTGCTTCTCACATCCTGGGTTGTTACCAGTTATGGGAGGGTCCAAGTTTTCATTTCCATTGATAAAATAAAACTAAGGAAAGAGAGGAGCTGACCCAGTGCAGGAAAGGGGGCGTGAATGGAGTTGGGGAGGGGGGATATCCCTGCAGACCCTATGGTGAGAAAGCTCGTGTTTTCTGAGTTATTCACCAAACCAGGAAATCTCATGAAGGACAATGGCCTTGTCTCTAAGGCAACCAAAAACCATGCCTAGCTGGAGGTACAGAAACCTGGACTCTGAGGAGAGAGGGGTGATGGCTGCCCTGCACAGACCTCCCCACCCCTTTTAAGAACCTCCTGCTTGTGTCTGAATAATTCACTGCATCTTTTGTTCCCTGCCAAGACTTTCTCTTCATCCCTCATTGCCTGCCCTCCCTGATCTTCTTTTTCTTTTTCTTTCCTGTGGGAAAGTTGTTTGAAGAGGGAGGATGGAGACGGGCTGTGTAATGACAGAAGGTTGATGGCAATGCCAGACAAAGCGGATAACACACGCTCATTAGTGGCCAAGAAAAGCTGGAAAAGAAGATGGCAATGGGATGTGGGAGGTGGGAAAAGGTGAGAAGAAAGGGCTGGAAGGCAGACAGAGGTGGGAGGGGGTTCCCTTTCGGGAAGACAGAGCAAAATCAACTCATTTCTATAGCCCTTTTGAAAGTGTGCTGCCAGGACTGAACTCCTTTCTGCAGTTTGGTGGAGGAATAAAGGAACGAAATGAAGCCTGTTGACCTCCTCAGACTCACTGCAGCTCAAGGGCTATCTGTCTCCATGATGGCATGGGGTCACTGGGACATTTCTCAAGGGGGACAGAGATGAGGTGTAAATTGGATCAGCTCAGCTTTGACGCCAGTTCAGTAACAACACAAGTGTTTAGCCATTAGATACACCATCATCATCATCATCATCTGCAACTAACCCCCAGTGGACTCTGTGCAGTCTCTAACCCGAAGGCCTCATTTAACCCTTTGGAAAACCCTAGGATGGAAGTACTATTATGTCACTCAGCAGCTAAGAACACTGAAGACAGAGGATGCAAAACTTACTCCAAGTGGCACAGCAAGGAACTCGGGATCGAGCCCAAAAATCAAGGGCTCCCGTGTGCACACAGAGCCTCCTCCTATGTGCCAGCAATCACCCCCGAACTCTGCTAGAGCGCCTAGCACACTGTTGCAATCCAGGAGAGAGGAGCAGAGGAACAGCAGGATCCAGGCACCCCTTGCCCTCCCTCCCATCCTTCACCCTGGAGGCAGTCATGAGCCTTCCACGCCTCCAAGTGGCATTATACACTGCCTTCCGAGTCACTGTGGCTGTAGCCAAAACAACGATGGAACAGTGGGCACAATCCTGTGTTCCAACTTCTCTGCACCACATGAGATGGGTGACCCTCCAAAGGAAAGATAAATCTTAGCAAAGTGCCCATGCATAAAATACAACAGTGACAGAAATGGGATAATAGCGGCAAGCCCATCGGGGACTTATCAGAAAGTCAACTCAATCCATAGAGGTTTTCAGAATGATCCCATAAGCAGGTTATGTAAACCGGGAATCGTCATTTGACACACAAGGACACTGGTCCTTGCAAAGATCCTAGGGCTTCCATTAGTGAGAGACAGGAAGAGAGGCTGTTCCAGCCTAGTGCTCCTCCCTCTGCTGCATGTTTTCTTTCATTTCCCTTCCCCCAAGCTAAGACCTCCCTCTGCTAAGACGTCTGGAGACCCAGCAGAGTATTTATGGCCCTGACTCAGGGCAGCCTGGATTTTCAGTCTTAGGGACCCATTCCAGCTTTCAAGCCATCTCAACCACCGGCACAGGACAGCAGCAAGGCCAGGCCTTTGAGGACAAAAGAAAGGCGGCTGGCTGTTATGAGTTGACAAGAAGTCAACAGGTCAGGAAAAGGCTGCTGCGGGCACTGTAGGGACCTGGGCACTCTCATTTGGTGGACGAGGGATATCAAGAAAGTAAGAAACACTAATGGCGCCTACAACAGCTCCAGCATGTCATAAGCATGCTGAAATGGGGTATGGGAGAAGCAATCCCAGCTTGGCACCTACTGTATGCCTGTACTGATCGGAATACCTGGTGTGTGTATGTGGAGGGAGGGGGGTGCTGCAAGGCCAGACTCCTGCCACATATCTGATTCTCTTCATCGGTGAAATGGGATAATGTCTCCAGACATTTTAAAGATTATAAATGAAAAGCTAAAACCATTAAATCAAAACACAGTGGAAGCTCAACTAATGCCGGCTAAGATTTCCTAGCACCGTCATCTGTACTCGCTGGGACTGTACCATTGGTATGTTTGCAGTGTTTACTAATGATGAAGTCAGAGCTTCACGCGTGGGTCGTGCCTCAGACACGGCAACTACCAGGCAAAACCTCAGTTATATCCAGACCTCTTGGTGCCCTAATGTGAAATCGCTCCTTGTTCACACCAGGCTGGCTTCCACCTACCAGGGGCAGCTCAGTCTGACAAGACTAGGCATGCATGTCTTAGCCAGTCCATCTTGCTGTCTGACCCACAGGTGAGTCACAGGCTACCTCTAAGGTGGGTAAGTGCTCTGTGGCAGCCATGGGAACACCTACCCCGAGGCAATCAGCACCCGGGACTGGGCAATGGCCAGTCGCTGCAGGTTGGACCGATTCAAAGTGGCCAGTGCCACCCTTCCAGGCTTCCTGTTGCTTCCTTGTGGGCTGGTGGGGGAGCCTGCAGTTGCCCCAGCTGGTGTATTAGAGACCTGTCTCCGGATCACCAGTGATGGAGCAGTCTTCCCTGGGCCCCGCATGGTGCCGGAAGTATCTAGTGGCTTCGTCCCAGGGCCAGGTGGTGGGGGCAGCTTGCCCACTCCAGAGGGAGCTATGTTCTTGCGAGTTCCTGGAGGCTGAAGGGGCCCACTGCTCCCATGGACCACAGCAGCCTTGACGCTCATCACCAAAACACACTGTGGACAGGAACAGGATGGTGCAGGGGGGGAAGTGGTCGTTCCAGGATTGACTGGCCAGGACTGAGCCTTCGGCATAGTGCCTGTGACCATGGGATAGATGAGGTCTAGTCGGCGGCGGATACGGCGCTGGCGCTGGGTCTGCCTGTTGATCTGGCCCATGGTGCTGAAGTCAATGATGTAGCTGAAGCCAATGGAAGTGAGGTCGATCCAGGGGTGCTGTTTCTCATAGGCATGCTGGATGGTAATACCCACTTCCATGTCATAGGGTGTCCAGGAACCATTGTCGTTCTCCCACTCCCACACGACACCCTTCCCAGGGGCTGAGGATGGGTCGTAGTAGTTGCGGCGAACTGGACGTAGGGTCCCTGCCGAAGACAGAGGAGGGAGGCGTCAGGGTTAGTGGAGAACACCATTGATGTGTATTAGATTCACAGGTCAGCATAACTGCAGTCCTACTGCATGGCAGCCCCTGCACTGCCTAGTAGGGTTTTGAATAAGACTCATTCAGGAGTCTACAACAATCCAGGGTAGAAGCAGATGAAGCCACATGGAGGGCACGGGAAGCATTGCCAGGCAGCAGAATGGACCTCCAAACTCAGGGTTCAGGTATATTGATTTGGAGACAAATCAATTCACTTTCCAGCTAATATACAATACCTTAAGTCAACTCTTGTTCAGAGGAATAAGGCAACTCTCCCTGGGAGTTTTTGCAAAAAACAAACAAACAGGCACTAATTTCCATGACCATCTGGTAACTCTCACTTGGGGGAGAAATGCCTTCATGCAGAGAAGAGTTCTTATGCCACCCCGGCCCCTCTGAAGAGCCTCGCACCCAGGGCTATGGAGGAAAAAACACAGAGCCATGATAGTCCAGAAGAAAGAACTTCGCTTCCATCTAAAAGGTCAGGAGTTGTGAAAATGAAGCTGACCACGGCTCTTTTGGAGCACATTTTAAAAGAAGGAAAAAGTGGGATAGTGAGATGGCTCAGGGGGAGGGAACGTGCTTCTAAACCTGATGACCTCAATTTGGCCCCCAGGACTCACATGGTGGAAAGAGAAAACTAACTCCCAGGAGTTGCCCTCTGACCTCCACACACATGCCGCAGCTCAACCCATCCCCTACCCTGCCAAACAAATACATGTAAAAACAAAACAGAAGTTAAGATGAAAACGTGTTATTGGGAGATAAGGCATCATCTTGAGAGAACTCTCACCTATTTCCCGGGAACTGAGTCTTTTATCAGCAGTAATAACATTCTCAATGGTCACGAGAATAATTTCATAATTATCTAAGGTTTTCTTCCAAGAAACTCAACCCTTCTAAAGATAGCACCCTCTCCGTTTTAATAGTCTCCCTATGGGTTTGGAAGAACCAAGGGGATAACGAGATAAGGCGATCACACAGATGACCCAGCAAGCCCACAAGGGAACTGGGCTCCAGAATCTCTACACCTTTTCCCTCTCCCCACCCTAGTAACAAATTCTGTGTCCAACCAGGACTCATTTCATGGCATCAACATCAAGGCTAAAGGCTGAAGGGGGCTCTGAGATGCTGGGGTCCCTACACCTGCCAGCTTATACTTTATCTGAGGAAGTGGTGGGAAAAGGCTCCCCTTCCCTGGCCTCTGACCCACCCCTTCCCCCAATCCAGAGGGAAACACCATGACTGGGACAGAATGCCATTCAAGGGGGAAAGAAAGGAACAATGGTTATTCAGGCCTTTGCCAGGGTCATAACCTACTCCCCACCCCATCTCCAAGCCCCTTAATAACCCAAAACATCAACATTCAGAGGCAGGAGGGAGAAGCAGAACAATTCTCCATTCAGGGCCAGGACTCTGTTAGGGGCCCTAGGGTATCAGGATGGAGGGGGAAGTTCCCGGGTTAGCCTCCATTTCCTTCCTCAGCAGCAGGTCAGCTTTCTTGGGAACAAAGCGCAGGGTCCATGGAGGAGGTTCCATTCCTTCCTGCTGTGGGGGAAAGCCTTCTTTCCTCATCTTTTAGGACTATGCATAGCTGTAACAGGTGGATTTGAAGACAGGCAGGAACTTGTCATGCAGCAATTGCTCAATCAAATAGTGATTATTATTGCAGTTCACTCTTGAGATGTTATAGGAAAAGTACGGTAAGAGGACATGTGTGTGTGTGTGTGTGTGTGTGTGTGTAGGGGGGAGACACAGGAGAAAGAGAAAAGATATGAAATCACCTTGCCCCTATTCAGTCTTTACTCTTGGTTGCTCACAGACACAACTTCCATGGCAATCCTATAAAACACCATTTACAGATAAGATAATGAAGTTCAGAGAGTTTAATGACACCTTTGAAAATGCCCTCCAGGGAACAGGGGCAATGCACTTGTTTAGAGCTTCCAAACGCACTTAAAAAGCAGTGATTTTGTTTGTTTGATCAATTAGTTTTTAGCCAATAAAGTTATCAATCCTGTAAAAGTTTGAACATTGTCTCTGAACTCCCTAGGCCACGTCCTGGCTCCATACACACGTTCCTAGTTTATGTTCTTCTATCCTTTGCATTGCCCACTATTTCTGTCAGATACAGACCTAATCCTCATGTCTTCCATTGCAGTTCCATTTCCACTGGCAAGCCCTTGTAATTTTCACCTATTGCAGCTCTCTCTTTTAGTTCTTAGGCCACTGTCCGCTCACTAGTTCCAGCCCCACGCCTCAGGAAGCTTTAGGTGCAGAAGTGGACTGAAAGTTTTCAGATGTCCACACTTAAGAGGTCTAGGCTTACTCTCCTTGTAGGTGCTGAGTGTTGGCAGGGATACGGCTGTGTGGCTCTTTGTAGTCCACTCCCTAAGGCGAGGTCTGGCGTTATTAAAACACCATAAACTGTGCTGAACACTCTGGCTACTCTCAGATTTACTCAGGGATCGCAGGTTGCTCTGCATTCCATTAGTTGCTATGGAAAATGCAAAACTCCGGCATTCCTTAGCATCGCAAAGGGAGTGAGAAGGCAAACGTGGAAGGGATTGTTTATGATGCAAAATGAGCCAAAAGGACAAAGGGAACTCCAGTTGTCAGGAAAAATGACTGGACACCTTCTCTGCTTACATCTTCCCCCAATTTTCTTTTCTTCAGCCAGGACCAAAAACCCCTGCTTCACCCACCTCTACAGCTCCTTCCCCCACATACTCTACACATATTTCTTTCACGCTGGCCTCCAGTCTCTCCCGCTGCTGGTCTCTGATTCTGGGAACCTTCACCATGCTAGGTCCTCCTTCCTAACCACTCACCAAATTCTTTGTTGGCTCTTTTCACCCCAATGAAAATTCTGTGACCAAGTCAAATCCTGTTCCCACTTTTTAACAGCACTGATCTCAGCGTGCAGTTTGCGTATTTATCCAAGTGGCTCGTAAAATGCGGATCCGCCTCTCTCCCTAGATCCTCAATCTGATGACAGTGAGCATCAAACCGTTTACCCTAGCTCTGTCCCACAGGTTTGACACTTATTGAGCCTGAGGGACCCACTAATATAGTGATTAATAAATGGAGTAATGATGGCTTGCAGAACTTTTGAAGAAATAGATGACAACTGACATAAGACTTGAAAGATACAGAGACTTTCAACAGTCAAATGGAAAGAAAGGGCTTCTTTCCAAGGGGAATCACATGAATAGGCGGGGTGGAGAAAACCACAGAACTACCAGGAGAACCTACGGCACAGAGGACCAAACTATAGCCAGGGCATAAAAGGTCTAGAACACCAAGCTGTGATGGGCTTTGTTTCAGGGTGAGGAAGAGCTAGTGAAGAGTATTAAGTATAAGTAATAAGACCAAAGCTGCTCTCCTGATCAGTTCAGAGTGGGTGGACAAGTGTTAGAGAAAGCAAAAAGAGAGGCGGGGAGACCCTACAGAGAGGACTGGGAGGGCCTTGGGCACAGGCAGCTGAACACTCTGCAAATGAGGTGTCAAGGCCACTTGTTCACAACCTCCAGGGACCCAGCAATGACCCCAAGACCCAAGAGCCTTGGTCTGGGAATCCAGTTCTCTTTATCCACATCAAAATTTTAGCCAGCGGGGCACACATGTTGCATTCCTGGAAATATTAGCCACTCAGGCTCTGAATAAGAGGATGAGTCAAAGAATCCTGAGGTTGACCACAAGGAGAGTGCAAAATGGTAGCCAACAGAGGGATGTAAAGATGAGCTAGGTTTTTGGAGAGAAAGTTGCTGAATTTGGTTTAGCCCTATAGGGTAGTAATCAAACATATATAACCTCCAAACAAAAAGTTTGAGAGAAGAGAGACGATGTTTTATTCCTAGAGACTTCTCTATTTGGAATATTCTAGGCCTGGGCTATTCTAGAATCAGGACAGTGGATTAGACAATCTGAAGGAGTTCCATCCACCTGGGTCCTATGGTGTGAGGACCCAGGGAGAAGGTTTCCAATACAGCAGGCATAGAGGATGTTCACAAACCAAAGAGGAAGGAAGAGAAGGAAAAAAATGGTTTTCTCACTTCCAAGCATTGGAGATGTTTTGTCTTTGGGAACTAGAAGACTGCTCCAGGCATGGGCTGAGATCTCTGACAGGTGACCCACACCTGTGTTTTTATAGTCTACACTTTAAACTCTCAGCTTCTCATACCAGCACGATTTCAGCTCACCCTCAGTGTAGAAAGCTCCATAAGGGCAAATTTGTGGATGTTCTATTCCTGATTCCCATACCTACCACTGCACGTGACATTAGTCCACAATGTCCACAAATGCAACAAGCATACATGCGACACTTCACTGGACTCTTAGCTCTGTCACTGACAAAGTAACTTGAACTCTTGAGCAATTTAAGCTGTTTCAACTTGCTCCTCTTTCCATAAAACGGGACTAGTCTTCGTATAATCCTCGTGACGCTGAAACAAGACACCCGTGCAACTTTCCTGGCATGACACGTCTCTAGTACCCACTTGGTAACCATTATGCCTAACCCCTCCATTCCTGTGTCCACACTAGCTAGTACGCGATAGGAGGGATTCCGTCCAGTCTTGCAGTGCCACTCACTCCATTGGGCCCTTCTCATTAAAGATAAAAAGAGACAGGCTAGCACTACAAGCTTTGAGCTGGAAGTTCTTCACTTTTGTGTCAATCTATTATCATTAGCTTTGTTGTTGGTGCGGGGGTCTGGGGTATGCATGTGCAGATGCTTATGCTGGAGGAAAGGGACTCTGAAGGCTTCTCTTCAATCGATGACAGATATGGGAAGGCCTGACTATAAAAGAAAAGGAAGATGACAGTAGAGGACTTTGCACAGAGAGGACTCTACTAAGGCATACAGACTGGTCCAGAACCCCTTCCCTCCTTACCTTTTTAAATATTCTCCAGCCCAAACGCCTAGAGCAAAGTAACCTAGAATGCAAATCAGCTCCTATTTGCAAAAGTCTGGGGAAGGAAAACCCAGGGCAAACAGAAGTGGGCAGATGGGTGTCTGCAACCTCCTAGCCATCTCCCTGGAGACAGTCTGGATGCAGTCAAGAGCTCGAAGGAATGAAGAGACCAAGCTCACTAGGTATCCAGGCATACAACTCTGAAAAGAGAAAGCTCTCATGTCAAATGCCTATAAAAACAAGACAACCAAAGGGAAAGGAATTGCCTCTAGGCAGGGGACTTCCAGCTTGTCTGGCTTTATAGGGACTTTTCTGGTTCCCAGCTTTACAGTGTGGCTTGGGGACAGTGAGTAATTTAATTAAACATTGCCAGGGCTTGGCTAAGGTTGCCTGGGAGCTGGTGGCTTAAAGTTCCTAACATGTCGCGGTCTCATCAATGGTCTTCATTGAGAGGAACCGAGGTCTTGTGTGGACGCAGGAGGCAGCAGAAGGGGGTCAGCGCTGACATGAAGGAATTCTAATCTGCACTGACAAGCTCCCTGGCAGGCCCAGCCTTTCTAGGAATTCAGCCTTATGGACGCCTTTAGCATCCCAGCCTAGCACTTGGCATGGAGGAGAGAGGTGCCCAGGAAAGTGAACTTGATGCAGGAAAGAGGGACGACGCCAGAGCAGTGTGGATGTGAAACACGCAAGGCAAACTTTAAAAGGATTCAGGCTGGAGGAGGTGGTGCACATCTGTAACCAATCCCAGCACTTGGGAGGCTGAGGCAGGGAGTTGGCCAGTTTGAGGCCAGCCTGAAGGAAATACCTAGATCATATTTTTGAAAGGGGTGCAGAGGCAGAAGAAACAGCTCAGCGGCAGAGTCTTGCCGAGGACCGTGACTATTTCTCAGCCTCAGACCTAAAACAGAAGAAACTAAATAACTTGCCATAACCAGTGGGCAAGAGGGTGCATCCCAAGAAGAGCCCCCAGCAGCCAAAACCTGGGAAGGAGATACTGTCATTCACTTCAGGTCCTCTACAACTTCACTCTGTCGAGAACAACATCCAGGTCATGGCTGCTCCTAGACCTGTGTCCATCTTAAATAGGCCCCAATGCAGATTGAACCTCTGACTTCCTAACAGTGGGGCAGGGGATGGGGCCGGCCCATGGCTAGGATGGCTCTCCATATGCTGCACAGACAGTCTGAAATAGAAGAGCTAAACTTGCTGTTTTATTTTGAGCAGGCCTGGAACTCCCTGTCAGGTGGTCTGCTGATCCCACCTCCAGGGCTCAGCTGCTTCCTCCATCACCCCCCACACACGCCCTCCAGCTGAGGTCCCCATGCCTCACTTCTACCTCCTCTACCCAAATGCACAATGGCATCTAATTCCTACATTTAATCCTCTTACCCCACCTCCCTGCATTCCTCTTTGTCCTCTCTTCCTCTCAGCTCCTCCTCCCCACTTTCTCCGTGAAGGCTCAGGCCTGCCAGATGCTGAAACTTCTGGAACCCCCCCCCCCCAGAAAGTTTTCTTCCATTGGCCAGGGTCATTCAGTTTTTGGCAAAGTCTTTTCAGAGTTGTGACCGCGGATAACGAGAGGGGGGAACTAAACTTCTTTCCCATGACAATTCCAATTAGCACACAGGATGTGAGGCTTTTCCTAGGAAGTTCAGAGGACCTGTCCAGCAGCTGTTCCCTGAGCCACAGGGCCCTCCTCCCCTTCTCCCTCCCCACCACACCTGCTTCTCCAGGCTCTGCAGCTACCCCCTTGGGAAAGGCCAGCCAGAATTCCAGAAATGACCCCCAATTAAAAAGATTACTCTCTGGAGACAGAAACTTGTCCCAGGTCATCAGTTAAATTAAACTTGAACACACTAGACCCAGGGGAAAGAGCAACTGTGATTTCCTTCTCCCTCCTGGCTCCAAACCCATATTCCAACTTCTGCAGTTCCATTCCAGGCTAAAGGCCACACAGCTGGGAGATTCCTAGTGGTCTCGCTGGCAACCTGGTTTTTATGTAAAGACGAGAGTTCAGTGCCTTGGGAGGCCAGAGTGGCCCTTGTATGCTACTTAAGAAAAACAAAACTGGGGACAGTTTCTTCTTAGCCTTCCACCTACTCTCTCCCTCCTCCTCCACGGACAAAGGGAGCAGCTTCCCTGCCAGGCATTCCAGAGCCCAGTCCTTCCCCCTCCTCTCTCCATCTGCTCTGGCCTGTTGCTTCAGCGCTTGGAGTATACAAGCAGAGGCATCTGTGAATGCCACCACATCCAGGATGTTCCGGCCCTGAAACCCCTGGCTCCATTCTCTCTTCCCAGTAACATTCCCACACTTCCACACACTAGACTGCAATTAGAGTCAGGGGATCACTCTGTCTCCCCAAGTCTTACACCCAGGACTAGACACTGGGAAAGCTGGGTTCACAGAGGAGGGCCAGAGACAGCAAGGTTAAAAGGGGAACCTGTGGTAGCAACAAGGGTGCTTGAGACAAAGCAGGGTCAGCCAGGTGTGAGCAGCCAAGGGGCTCCAGCAATGTTTTTGCTTTCTAAGCATTGCTTGGGGGCTGCAAAGTCCTAAAGGTCCTGCATAAAGAGGCACTAGGGGCTGAAAGGGGGTATAAAGGGGTCTCCTGCTGTTAAGCTGTAGCTGAGTTTGCTTAATCAAGACACTTTAAACTACTTGGAAGGACATTTATTTGGAGATGGTCATGGGATCCTGAGAGGATCTAGGGAAGGAAAGCACCTGCCCTCAACACCGATCGCTGACACCAGTAAGAGAAACTGCCCACAACCCACGACCACGAGGGCGGTAGCTCCCGGGATAGAGAAGGGCTGTGGGCGGCTCACCCGTGTCTTGACGGAACTGGTTCATGGACTGCAGGTCGATGATGTAGGGCGCGAGCCGACTGTCCACCTGGCCCAGTACCACGCTGCCCCCGGCGCGGGGACCCGCGCGCACCACCGCCTCGATGTGGTGGCTCACGGCGGGGCTGTAGGGACGCCAGCGGCCGTGCTCGTTCAGCCATTCCCACACCACCACGGCCGAGGCCAGGAGCATGGCGAGCCCGGGGCTGTGGCGCGCCGCTGCCCGTCTCCCGGGCCCGGCCTCCTGCGCTTCCTCCGGCGCCGCCGCCTCCGGGCCTGGATCGCGCCCCCCGCCCCGCGCCCCGCCGCCGCGGGCAGCCTCAGCTGCGGCCCATGGGGGAGTCCGCAGCCCCGCAGGCACCGGGACACGGACCCCGGGGCCACCTGCCTCCGACCGCGCTCCGCCGGGCTCCGCCGCTGCCGCCGCCGCTGCTCCGAAGGGTCCAGCGGCTTCATGCAAAGGCCCGGCCCTGTGCCCTCGCCGCCCCGCCTTGCAAAGCCACCCGGGGGCGCGCGGCCCGAGCGGCGCTGCACCCGCCTCGCACCAGTTGCGCCTCGGGCTCCGCGGGCGTCCGCGTGGATCGCGCCGCACGGTCACGCCCTCCGCCCTCTCTCGGTGCGGAGCGCGGCGACCGCGGCGGCACAGCTCCCCCTCCCTGCGGCTCGGCTCAGTGCCTTCCAGAAGGAGTCGCCCCTCCCCGGCAATGCGCCAGGGCGAGCTCGCTCCCGCGGACGCTTCCCTAATCCCCGGGTGCCGAGAGCACGCGCGCCATCCCGACCCCAGCGGCCACGGCCGGGCCTTAACTTTGCAATCTCTTCGAAAATGGAACTTTCTGTCTTTCTTTCCGTTTTCAGCGCAGCGCCGAATGAATCTGCGGCGCGAGCTCCGGGGGTCGCATTTTTCTCCGGCTCGCGCACGCACGGACACACTCACACTCGCACACAAACACACACACACACACACACACACACACACACACACACACACACACACACACACACACACACACACACACACACACACACACACACGAACAATCCCACGCCCTCCTCGTTCTGCCTGCTATTACCTCATCTTCGCCTGCATCCTTCCTTAGCTGTCGGTCAAGGATAAAGAAGTCACGCCTCCTGGCCGCTCGCACCAGAGCGCTAGAGCTTTCTCGCCCCCTGCTGGTCGGAAACCTCATGTACAGGTCAAAGGCCACACACTGGTGACCACTGGGAGCCAGCGCCAAATAAGAGCAGAAAAGGTCTTGTTGGACTGTTTCTCTATTGTTAGAGTTAGATGGCACAGGCTAAACTGGTTTATCCTGCAGTGTCTCTGTGAATAAACCAGAAGAGAGCAGGACAAACACAAGCTAGACTCGCTTATTTTGATCATTAACGGCTAAAGAGGAAAACATTCTGAATTGCGTTCTGACTAAAGTTAGGGATTGAGATCTGGATTGCACATTATTGCTGAGCATGGTACCCTGCACTCGTAACTTCAGCACTTGAGAGACTGAGCAAGAAAATGAGAATTCCAGGCCCCATATCCAGACCAGGTCTCAAAAAAAGAAAAAAGTTAACATTTCTAAGAGAATTACATATTAACCTTGTCAGGGAACACACGCTTCCTTTCTCCGTGGGTAAAACCACACGTACAATGAATTCATTCTGATAAAGTAAAGATAGAATTTGGGATATTTTTATATTGGTAATGAGATTGTGATTTTTTTTTTTACAATTGCCTTTTCAGACTTTCATATGCTCTTTTTATGTTTGAGGAGACGAGCAGAAAACTGCTCCTGAGCAGGTAAACCAGGAATTCCCAGGTGGATCGCGCTTAATCTAGGCGTGGGGGGTGAGGGTGGAGGAAGTATTAAGAAATAGCTAACTGCTTGAAAGATGAACATGAAACAGAAAGAAATAGATAGATCCCTACCTCCCGACCCCCCGGGCGCGCCTTTGTTACCTGTCCTGGAACTAGCTCTTGTAGACCAGGCTGGCCTCGAACTTCACAGAGACCCCTCCGCCTCTGCTTCCCGAGTTCTGGGATTAAAGGCGTGCGCCACCACCTCCCGGCATAGACCCCTACTTTCTGTGTCCATCCTATAGCCTTCCTGGGTCTGCCATCCTAACACCGCAGCAGGGATTACAGCAAAAGTTAAAGGAGAGAATTCGCCGCCTGGGTAATTTGCTAGAGGGCGTGAATACACAGAGGAGTTTCCATCAGTAATTAGATGGGCGAGTTAATACTGATTGATAACCTGACGGGATCTAAAGTCACTCAGGAGAAAACCGTCCCAGCATGCCTGTAAGGACTTAGCTAGAGCCAAGTCAATCAAGGTGGGAAGATCCACCGTAAATATAGGCAGCGCCATTTCACCGGCTGCAGTTCGGGACATAAGGGAGAACGAGAACTGAGTGCCAGTATCCATCCCTCCTTTTCCTTACTGGTCACAACCCGACCAGCTCCCTCAGTTACTTCCCTGACATGATGAACTATACCCTCGGACTAGGAACCGAAAAGTAGCACTTCCCTCTTTCAGATGTTACCATAGAAACGAGACAAGCAACTGACACAAATATACTTGCAAAACTAGTATTTTAATAAGCCACATTAACCTATAGTTCATAAAAACAATTTTCAAATAACAGTTTCTTTGTTGTTTTATGCATTAGTATTTTGTCAGGGGTTTTGAGTTCCCTGGAGCTGGAGTTATAGACTTTTGTAAGTTGCCATGTGGGTGCTGAGAGTTGAACCTGGGTCCTCAAGAAGAGCCATCTTCTCCATCTTCAACACTGAACCATCTCTCCAGCCTTCAAATAATAATTTCTAATTAAAAGTCAATAATAATTATGTATGTGTGATACGCTAAAAATATTTTAAAGATATCCTAACTTCAGCTAATCTGGGCCACAAACTCCTAAAATTCAAACAGCATTACACTTGAACATCCAAACCATATATATATATATATATATATATATATATATATATATCACCAAAATTATGTCTTATAGCTATCAGTGGTATAAAACTCCTTAAGCAAATGACATACTCAATATGTAATTTGGAGTTATGGTGTTTATAATGAAACCTCCCTGAGGTTTAATGGAATAAAATCAGGCTTGAATTGCTCAGTTTGGTGATGCTTTTTGAAATACCATCATTGTTCCCACAAATTTCAATGAACATAAACTTTTTTCTCTCATGAAGTATTAAAGTAAACGTCACCTTTTCCCCCATCATCCATCACTGTGTAATAAACCACTCTGAAACTAGTGGCTAAAAACAGCAGCGAGCATTTCCTTTGCATCAAATCTGCCATTCGAGGGAGGCGTCTGAGGACACTTAGTCTGGCTTGCAGAAGTTAGCTCCAGGCAGCTGGGAATCAGAGGGGTGGGGCTGGAGTCCGCTGGGCTTCCTTACTCACAGAGGCTGTCATCTGATTACTCACATAGAGCTTTCTGCCCAAGGACCTACGCCATGCTGATGGCATCCTCATTGCAAGAAGCTGGGTTCCAGCTAAGCGAGACCCCAGATAAAAAAGCCAGATAGAAGCCCTTGGTTGAAGAGACAGAGCTATTCCAGGTATCTCCTTCCCCCTTGCTTATCAAGCTATAAATATCCAATTGTACAAAACTATAATAGGCATTATTACTGATAACAACAATTAAAATATTCATGTTACGCCATGATTCTTCATTGGTCTATCCTTGCGTTATATATTGTCTGTTGTGCACACGATATGTAGCAAATCCCCCAGGTTGTACTTCTTCCATGTTGTTCTAAACACACCCACTTCTTTTCCACTGTCATCCTGTGACTGTCGTCAACACACTCTCCGTGTGTACGATTTTGTGATTTTAAAAACATTTCATTTTATTAATTTTAATTATGTGTAGGTATGTGTGTCTCTGTGCTTGCACGTGCACATGTGTATGTCTCTGTGCGTGTGTGTGTGTGTGTGTGTGTGTGTGAGAGAGAGAGAGAGAGAGAGAGAGAGAGAGAGAGAGAGAAAAGCGGGGGGGGGAGAGACAGAGAAAGAGAGTGCAGGTGCCAAAAGTGTCTAGAGGCATCTGACCCCAGAAGCCGGAGTTCTAGACAGTTGTGAGCCCCTGACACAGATCTGGAAACCGAACTCAGGTCCTTTTAAAGAGCAGCAGCTACTATAAGGCACTGAGTCGTCTCTCTAGCCTCTGGTTTTCTGTTTTGTTTTGTTTTGCTTTTTAAAAAAAAGAATGTTACGTAAATGGAAACTTGAGCACCTAGTCTTTGAGGGGTTGGATTTTTACACTAAGCTCAATTCTCTGAAAATTTATTTGAGCTAATGTTTATCAATTATGTGCCTTTTTATTGACAAATACTGTTCAATGGTACCAGTATGCCAGTTTATTTTTCTGTTTACCCACAATAGTTTGGACTATCAAAAATAAAACTTCTATGAAATTCTCATACAGGATTTTGAGTGAACATGAAGCTCCATTGCCGTAGCTGCACCATTCATATATACTTTTTAACCATGTCAGTTTTCCTTTTTGTATTTTCTCTTAACAACATATTGGTCATGCCACTACACCCTCATCGGTATCATGTAATGCCAGAGTATTTTATTTTAACCTTTATGATAGGCGTGTAATTTCTGTAACCCCTCCCCATGTGGGCTGAATAGTAGGGATGCTAAACAGGTCCCTGGGTGACTATTTGCCATCTGCATATTTTCTTTGATTAAATATCTGTTCATGTCTTAGGCTCCTTTTTGTGTTCTTCTTACTATTGAAGCCCTGGAGCTTTAGAAAATATTCTAGATTTAAAAATACCTCACAGAGGTGTGTGGCACAAATAATAAAAGCCCAGTGACAGATATTGGTGTTCAAGCTGAAGATCAGAAAAGCAAAGTGGCAAGGCACTGACTCTTACCTCCATGTCACACGGAACTGGGTGATTCTGCCTCTACAAATCCTCAGACTGAGACTGGGTATGAGATCTGATTCCTCCCATCTTATTTTTTTAAAATATTTATTTATTTATTTATTATGTATACAATATTCTGTCTGTGTGTATGTATACCTGCAGGCCAGAAGAGGGCACCAGACCTCATTACAGATGGTTGTGAGCCACCATGTGGTTGCTGGGAATTGAACTCAGGACCTTTGGAAGAGCAGGCAATGCTCTTAACCTCTGAGCCATCTCTCTAGCCCTCCTCCCATCTTATATTCCTCTGTAGTGCCTGGATTAAAGGCTCACACCACCACTCCCTGGCCCGTATGGCTGACTAGTGTGGCTGCTTTGCATTCTGATCTTCAGGCAAGCTTTATTTATTAAAACACAAATACTATACCACTATATTTCCCCTTTCTTGTCTAAAATAAAAAAAGGCTATAACTATAAGAAAAACTATATACAGTAAGTACAATAACTATATACAATATATACAGGCAATAAATGCATCAACAATGTCTAGTTCATTTGCATTTGACAAATTCAGAGAAAATACTCCATCTCTAACCTATCTCAATGAGTCCAAAAAGGTTGTACCTAATTCACTTTCTATTCTAATTTGCATTATCAAATTATCTTTTAATGTCTCACAACCTTTTACACTTTACACCTCTTTAGTGAGTTTCTTTTTTGAGTCTGATAAACAAGGAAAACTATAACTATCTAGTCTTCAACTCCCTCGGAGATCCAATAATACAATATTATTAACTGAGTAAGCAGGAAGTGCAAGCAAGCGATTTACAAAAAATGTGAGAAATGGCAGAAACAGCTGGCTTCCTTGAACAAGATTAGAAATATATGTACAATAAGTTTTAAAAAATTAATCACAAACTTGTATCAATAGACAAAATTTGTATATAATATATAAAAGTATACTTCAATGTAAAATATTTAAAACTAGCAGTTGCTTTTTAAAATTAGATTCAATAACCTACCTTTTTATTTTATCATATCTATATCCTCCCTTTTATTCTTTTCAGAGTAGATTCAATAAGTTAACTGCCAAGGGCCTTTTGAATG